CGAGGCGAGGGGGGCTCGCGGGGCTGGGGGCCGCCTGGCACAGAAAGGCGACAAGAACTTTCCTCTGGTAGTTTTTATTGGGGGTGCGGAGCTCCGTCTTTAAATAAGCTGAATTCGTGGTACCAGCGTACACTTCGGGTGGTAGATATTAATATAGAGAGATAAATATATTTCAGTAGAGCACAAAACAGAAACAAAATGTGCTATAAATACACAGGTACATTGGTCATAAATCTATACTATCTTATAAAAATAAAAGTATCGCTAAAATATTTTCATGTCTTCTGCAACTCGTACGCCAGACGGAGTTCAGCTGTGTTGTCACAACCCTGTCCTGCTTAAGTACAGACCGCTCGGGGGAGTGAGGTCCGGTTCTTACCCCCCCCCAAACGCCACTGTTCTGAACTCAAGTTTCTTTCGCTTTTGTTCACTGTGAATACAGAAGTACACAAAAACTGGCTCTTTAATTTCTACATCGCAATACCCTGTGTAGGTGGGTGTACACCTACGGAGAGAGTGAAACAATTACCTTCTTAAAATTCTCTTGCAGGGGGCTTGTGTGTCCCAGGTCCCACCAAGAGGTCTCATTAAAGCCTTGCTACTTGTTAGGTTAATGTAATTACACTTAGCGTGTCAATCGAGATTTTCTCCCTTTTTATGATGAACAATCTATTCCGTAGTTTTCTGGTTGGAAACATTTGAAAAGCTTCACATTTGATTTCCATAAGTGCATGTGCACAGACTGTGTATTTTTAAACTTCAGAAGAGAACTTCATTTGCATAATACAAATAATTTTGAGTAAGTACCTAAGGAAACTACCTATTTCCTGACATCCTTAATAGACGCAGCTGCAGCACGGGCTCATACCACATAGGTGTAGGGGATTCTGTTAACTGAGGAGGAGCACAGTCCCGTACGAAGCTCCTGCTGGCAAATGGAGAAGTTTGTAACGCCCTGTGCTGTGAATTTTATCCATCTGTAATTTAACCGGGACTCTCCGATTTAAACATGCCTGAACTGCGTCTGAAGTTTCTTGACTTTATTTATTCAAGTCAGGTACTTTGCAGGTACTGCTTTTAGCACGGGTAACGGCTAAGGTTAAGCAAATGCCTTCCTCTGGAGGGACCGAGTTCATTGAAGCTGCTCGTCTCAGGTATTCAGGCACCAGCTCTGTGAGTACCTGAGGCACACGTACGGAATGGCTAAATAAATAGGAAGGATGGGTGGTCACTGGTTTCTTCCTCGAGTAAAAACACGGTGTCGGTATTTTCCACCACCAGTATTTTCCAGCGTTGGAGAATCCAGAACACCTGTTACGGCAGCTGCAGACAAGTGGGGGGCTCCTAATGATGAAGGGGCATAAAATTGCAGGTGTGGTTGTAGTTTCTGCCTGAATTCTCGGTGGCTGTGTGGTGAGCACAGTGTCTGAGCTACTCTTAAAATTCCAGTCAAAAAAGTAAAATGAAAACACAGGTAACGTTTGCAAATAAATATCAGTACCTATGGAACTAGGAATACAAAATAAAATTATATATTTCATTAGAAGCAAATTAATAAATAATCAAACAACTATTCACAGCATTTTTATACACTTAAAATATGGTTATCGTTTTAAACACACAACTCTGAAAAAATCTGGAGATTATAGTGCTACATTTGTGTCAAAAACGCAGAATGCCTTTGTAGTGACATGAGAGAACAAAGCAAAATTACTGGGAATGTTTCAAAGTAATTTGCATAATTATAGTATAGGAACAATTTAAAGTCATATTTTGAACCGTATATTCATTAAGTGAACATTTGGTTTGACTAACAGTTTTCTTGATTTTTTTTTTTCTTGATTTTTTTACACTTTAACTTTGGGGCAGCTTTTATGCCATAATACTATTTATATAATCTAAAAATAGATTTCATCTTTGGTTTGAACCACAGCTCATGGAGTAATGAAACACGCATATTTTTAAATGAACGCATTGACTTTAAAAAAAATGAGCCCAGCTCTCAATCACTGTAAATCAATCGATCTGCTCCAACACGGCTGACTTGCTCCGATTGATTATCAGGCCCACTGTGCTTTCATACCCGGGGCTGTGGACAGCCTTTATCCAGCAGACTGCTCAGCTGCATGTACGCAACTCCAAAGAGGCAGCAAAGTAAGCACGGACATCTATAAGCTACTGACTCTGCATCTAGAGTTCTTAGACACGTATCTGCACTTCTAGTTTATTGTAATAAATCTGTTCTCCTGCTTTTAGGCTTGAGAGTACTTAAGCATGCGATTGCTCAGTCTACAACGGAAGAAGAAATGTCTCCGCTTCTCCACAGGCAAATAAGCGGTGCTGCCGAGCGTGCTCCAGCTTGCCTAGCAAGGGGCCTGCACTGGAGTTAGTAAGTAAGTAAGTGTCTTTAGTCAGTGAGCAAGTTGTAGTCTAACGACGATGACTGAACACCTCGAAGCAAGGCAACTTATTTCAGCTTGAGAGGAGGTAACTGAAAACATCAGTCCATGGAAGGATTTGTAGGGAATGAAAGACACAATGAGAAAACCCTCGGGATAACGCTCGCAGAATATGGGAATTACCAGATACTGTATTATTTTCCTGATTGAATTTACCGTATATTGCAGAATATGATACCCTACATCTACTATTAAAAATATAAATCCCTCCCAGGTGGGATGATGCAAAGCTGATATGAGTACCAGCACTCTTAAACTGGTATTTATAGCTCTAGCTTGGAGACTTCCTCACATTGCAAGTTTGCCTCTTCGTTCTAGCTATTTATTGCTCTTTGATTTTGTGTGGTTGCATACACGCGCCTGCTAGTCACAATGACTAAATTCATTCTTGTGCAAACAAAAAAGGTCTTAAGTAGGATTGAATTGCACTTAGGCTTTGTGCTTTGCCTCTCTGTCAAGACTGGATTTTGCTCACTGATAGAAAGAAACAATTACGTCGATTTATTACGGACAAAATTCTCCCAGTTCTCTGTGATGGATCTTACCTCCAATACGCTGCTTTCAGAATGGGACTGTGCTGGAGGCCAGTGCAAACCAGAATAAAGGCGAAATTATTTCTGCAGCATTTTTGAATGGGGGGGAACATGCAAACACTAGTATAATCTTCCTAAACTCTGTTTGTGGAAATACACAGCGGCCACTCTTAAAAATAATCTGCTTTTCTTATGTAGGAAATAGCATGGTGGTATTAAATACTCTTCGTGTAAATTTGCAAGATTTAATGGCCTCAGCCTATTATTTACAATGTTACTCTCAACATTCCTGATAGGGGAAATTTCTTTTTTTTTTTTCCTTTACATGCAAATTTTGCAGGAATAGATGTGAATATTTTAGAACTACTTGCAGGGGATATTAATTAATTGGTGTGCCTTAGTATTTAATTTATGTCATATATAAACTTACTCGATTTTTTAGGTGATAAAATGGCCTAAGTTGATTATGGTTAGAAATGGTAGCA